AGTTAGTCATTTCCCCGCCGAAAAATCTCACGGGGCCGTACGTGAGAACCGCGCATGCCTGGGTGATGAATTTAATAACTTTAAGTCGTACGTGGGCTGGAAACATTCCCTGAAAATTTTAGCTTCTTGCTAGTTCCCGAGTTAGCCATTCTCCCGCCGAAAAACCCCACAGGGCCGTACGCGAAAACCTCGCGCATCTGGGGGGCTGAATTTAAAATCTTTGAGTTATATTTGGACGGGGGACATATCCTCAAAATTTCGGCTTCCTGTCTTTTCTCGTTCCCGAGTTATCAATTTTCCCGCCAAAACTTCCTACCTCTCTTACGCGGGGCCCAGGCGTGCGTGAGGGATGTTACCGCGGTTCCGGGGTACCCATCAGCAAAATCTCGGCGCTGGAACTTGCTTGGTTGTCGAATTGAAATACCCGGACAGACGAACACACACACACAAACATACACACACATACATACACACACAGACGGGGTCGTCTCAATATGCGTTTCTGCAATTTGGATATAGGCAAAAACGCATAAAAAACACACATGGAAAGCCGTAAGAGCGGTGGAAGGAACGTTCCTACGTTATGTGAATGAGAGAAGGCCAAAAAGACAGGACCAAGATGTCTCGGACGTAAGAAGAAATGCGGCAGTGAAATTACCGATGACCAGAGTATCAAAATATTTGCCATGACTGGGTTCGGTTGGTTCCATATCAGCACGTTTTTATTCTTAATCGCCGCCATTGCGGGTTTACAGTAGTAATTCTGCTCTTGTATTTCCTCAGAATTTGCTAGTTTTGTACCCGGTTACCCTCCGTCCACAGTTATGATTCTCGAGGTCTTTAACTTCCGCACCCTCCTGCAGCGGCGATTTCACCGACTGTACTCTATTTTCCGGGCGTAATCACTTTTCATGTTCCGCCTCTCTAACTGTATCTTCGCAGCTGCGACAACTCTTGAATCCGGTTGAGCACAGTCAGTTCGTGTTGCGTACTGATTTCAAAAAAAGTCAAATTCAAATCTAAGCAATAAATTCATGAAAAATAAACAAAAGAGATAATGTTCAAGATGTGGAGCACTCTATCCGCTGCAAGTACATCATAACCGAATTTTTCTGTGAGAGCCGAAGAGTGCTGAGACTGTAATATTCAGCTAGCTAATAATGCGCAAGACTCTAGAATGAGCTGAAGCTGTTTTGCATTATAAAAAATTCAGGTCAAATGCACGCAACTTCCATCACAATACCTCTCATAATTACTAACTTCATGTACTTTGATTTCCCATAAAAACTTGCATTAGACTATCCAATACTTTCTGTATTTGCGAACTGCATTAACTCTTTATTCCTTCGACCGATTTCTTGCTCATATTAGATCTGCTTGGTCATTACCTGGTGCTGTTTTGGGAATCTAAACACCGGTGGAAACTTCCACAACATCCCGAGACATCTCCAATGAGTGGTGGCCGATACGTAAAAGCATTAAAGAATTGCTAGCAGGTGGGGCACGCATGCGGCAGACAAAGCGTAACACATTGTGACATTTACTTCCAGAACAATGAGGGCAGAATGTCGGGCAGCTTGGGCCGCAACAGCCGTGGGCAGATTTTGCTAGGTGTTAAGCTATGATAAACAATTAATCAAAGTAGCAAGATAATACCCACACGACGTGGAGCGATTGCCAGAACTTGGTACCACTTTGTATTGGTATTAAATGCACTCTCTCTTCCTCTTCCGCACTGGAGAAAAGGGGCACCAAATCCAGCGATCTTGATTTGGCATCAATTTCTCATCAATTTAATGCATGCATTTTTACGTCGACCTTTGTTTGAACTTATCCAAATTTTTTTTTATCCGAATTGGTTAAATATGAACTCTCTGGTTTAATTTATTTGCTGCTGTCTTTTGCAATTTGACAGCTTACAGCTAGAGTGGCCTGTTGCCCGGATGATCCTGTGCATTTCTCCTTTCCAAACAGTTTTTTGAAACCTTTCACTAGCATACCTACCTGGCGCACATAATCTTAGGTTTTATTTCCGTTTTTCCTCCCCCCTGTCATTAAATGTTTTGACAAACGGCCTCAATTTTCACTGTTCCTGCCTTGATCATTTAAAGATTTCGGTATTTCCCGATTGCAGAAGGAAGACCATTTGCCTTTCCTTCACGATGCTTCCCAAAACACCTCTCTCGCTGCACCCTCGATCGCTGACACACAACGAGGACACGCCCACGGAAAAAAACAGGCGATCACCTCTTTCCCCTATGCCTCTAGCAAGCTCCAGAATTATCAAAATGCAACGATAACTATAGCGACTCTAATTCGAGAACGCGAAAACCAGCCATCTGCGGCACATCGTTCGAAGTATCGAGCAGAAAATAGTGTTCGGCGTAAAAAGGACCATACAAATTTAGACAACGCTTAAACGTACAGTTTAAACAGTATAGAAGAACCAATACGACTACTGGAGCCGCTCATACCATTCAGTACACTAGCGTGCAGAGAATACTGCCAGGTCTTTTCCTGCGCCTATTAATTCTCTGGAGACCGTTTACTTGGACATTTTATCTTGGAATTACTCGCTGATACACAACACGCGCTGGGTGCTAACTAAGCACTCTGTGTTGCTTGCCGAGTTGATTTCATTTTATTTCACTGTCCAGTTATTGTTCCGTCCGCTCATTGGCGGATCCAGGAGGGAGAGGGTGATAGGTCTTTCGCTCCCTCCGCAGCATAGGTAGCGGTGCTAAATTTGAAAAAAACTCTCTTCGACATTGCTCGTGCCCCTCCCCCCTCCCTTTGATCGCTGCCACTAGGAGCGATGAGCAAGGCGGGGGTAACAGGGGAACCGAACGACCGGGGATGGGGGAAGAAAAAAATCACCCAAATTCCTCCCCCCAGGAAACCGCCCCAAATTCGCCTATGCTCACGCTATTCATTTAGTGAAATATTCGACTATATGTACGTTTATACATCAAACTATCTGGACAGTCTTGTTAAATTTACTTAATGAAAAGACGCTTCGAGTAATCGCTGCTGTAATTGAGTTCGCCGTCAAAATTAGCATGTGCTTTTCT